CTCCCCTCCTCTCCCCTCCTCTCCCCTTTTTCCTCACCTGCTCACAGATCTCCGGCCTGTGAAGCCTGGGAAAGGGACATCGTCCAACCCTTCCACTGCCATCATTTACCAAGAAAGTCAGATCAGTCTTTCTCCTCTGAATGCTTTCTAGATCCCTCTCCTAAAAATGACATCCACAGACAGTAAACTCTATGGGGACATTGCTGAAAATGCTGAAACTAAATTTATAGTAGTCAGTTGCTGTAATCTGCAAACAGTGCTAAATGCTAGAAAGAGGCAGCAGATGCCTTCCAAAACTGTGTTCAAATACATATGATCAACAGAGTCACTTGTCACAGCCAAAGCAGATGCGCCTTCCTGCTCAACCCATAGGAAATCACAGTAAGGATTATCACCATGTAGGTCTTTATGGAAAGTTCATAAAACATAAGATGAAAAATAACTGTTGAGTTGTGTGGTCTAGGAACCCAGCCATCCTTTTTAACTGCAAAGTGAATGATTTGCACAGGGAAGACCAAAGGTTTAAAGTGTGAGTATTTTAACTAAAAACAGCAATAGAGGCACAGCAATAGAGCATGCTGCCAGCATACAGTTCTTGCTTAGCTGCTGCAGCAAGGTGAAACAAAGCTACAGATTACTTTCAGAGCCATGCATTTCCTTTTGATTTAAAAACTACAGCCCAGTTTTCAGAGTGTTAAAAAAAAAAAATGTCCCGCCTGCAGATAGGTTTTTATGATTTTTAAACACTGATTGAAAATATAAGATAGACAGTTGGTGTGACAGTGCCCTCAGGGATGAGCAGCTCCATGCAGATGTGTTTCAGGAAGTCCTTGTAAATTAGTGTTGCTACCCCTGGATTAATTGATTCACAGAGACCACTCACTTGTGGTTCATCCTACTTCAGGATTTCCTGGGTTTTGGAACATGGTGAGACAAGGAAAAGCCTGTGCTGTTCCCGAAGCAGGGCTGCCACATGCTGGGCTTCAGCCTGCAATGGTGGGGCAAGAAAGAGGAGAGCAGCAGCTTCCAAATCTCTGCTTGGCTGATTTGTGCCCACAGACACCAAGTTAGCCTGTGTAGGATGGGTGGTGTTGCCCTCTGAGTTTATTTTGCATGCAGGCCCCTCTGCTTGGTGCTCAGTTTTGCAGGCCATGCTGCTGCTTTCCAGGTCTGGGAACGTATGCCTGTGGGGAAAGCTCACCTCCCCTGGCTTAAGGATGCATCCCAAAGGAGGCAGCACCCCACAGGCACCCTTGCCTGCAGAGCCTCCCCAGTCTCCTCCAGGGTGCATGGTGAATCCCCAAACCCCTTCATTTCATGCACCAGGGATGTTTAACTTGAAATCATTTTCAAGTTCTTGCTTTTCCTGCAGAAATTTGGAAACATTGCCTTGTGTTCAGCATCTTTCCTTTGTAACAGCTCCAGCAGTCTGTACCCTCAGGAGTCTGCAGGAAGATTTAGCTCAATGCTCAGTTTGAGTGGTCTGCTCCAGATCTCTTCAGATGGGACTTGGCAAACATAGCTTCCTCTGTGAAAAAAAGGATTTGGGCTCTTACCATGCAAGAAAGCCCTCCTGAAAGACTCTTTCATATGAAGCCAAAGAGATAAGAGAGAGTCAGAATTTTAAAGACAAAATGCTGCTGTCAGAAAGGTATGCAGCCTTCATGCAGGAGGGATTCCTCACATATTGGCCACTTGTAATTCAGCTTTTAAATAAAAGATTTGTCTTTAGACTGGAAGGGGAATGCCTTTCATGAGTAATAAGGCATAAAGCTTTTATTTTTTCTTGATGGAACTATCATTCAATATAAAATAAGGTGGTTCTTGATTTATTGAAAAGCCAAATTCATATTTTGCCTTGGGAAAAAAACATCCAGCTCACCAGTCTGCAAGGTGCCTGGGAGACGTGGATAGTGGTGATGATGAGGGTGGAATTAGCTTTTGTGTCACTGGCCAGTCTGAGGGAATATGGCTCGTGCCTTGGGCTACAGCTCTTACTGGAAATGATGGGACAGAAGCTGATGGTGTCATTGATGGGAATTGGGTGTTGGTAAGTTTTGCTTTGTAAGTATGTATTGGGCATTTGTCTTTTAACAAAGATTTTTTTTTTTAGTTGCTGGTGTATGTAAATATAATTAGGTACATTAAAACATCCAAATAACCTTTTCTTGTATATAATACACCAACATTTGAATGTAAGCAACATCCAACAGGCAGCTTCACGTATTTTTATGCACCCTGAGATGTGACCTGCTGCCATTTGTGGATCTTGGGGAGATCTGAGCTGGTCCCCCTGTTGTACTCTGCTTGGCCACAGGCAGGTCTGGACCCCTCCAGGTGGTCAGGAGCAGGAGCAGCCCCTGGAGCCAGCTTGGCTTTGCCTCCTTGGAGGCTGCAGGGAACATTTTCTTGTCTGGGGTTACAGGGCCTTTTAGATAGTGCTAATAATTGTAGAAGGTGCTTCCTTTGTGGGAAGTTGCCAGCAGGGTAGAACAGCTCCCAGGAGGTTTTCTGTTTCTCTCTTAAATACACAAGGACTATGCATTCCCACTGATACTCAATCTACTGTAAACCCTTAAAGACCAAATTTCCCCAAAATATGAAGCAATCCCCACTCCTGTAGTCTTCTCTTAATTTTTCTAGCCACATTACACCCAAGAGGTTTTTGGTGTCAATGCTGCTTTTGATTAAAGTACAGCACGGGTGCCTTCCAGGGAGCCAGGCAAATCCCTCCATGCCGTGAGCATTGCTGACACTGAAACTCACACGGGTCATTCTCAAGTAAAGCTGATGCAACAGCCTGGCAGGACAACGACAGCTTCAGAAGTCCTCAAAGCAGGAGCTGATGACTCAAACAACCCTGCCCAAGCCCACTGAGTGAGCAGGCAACAGATCCTGGCACGCACAGAATCTGCAGATGTAGAAGTGTCAGTTCAGATAAGAGCTTCCAGCAGAACCATGTGTGCATGCAGCATATGTGTCCTGTCTCCTTCTCTGTAAAATAACTGCAGGACGTGGAATCCCTTTTGCTGTCTCACATCAGCCAAAATCCTCATGGTGTCCACTCTTGCCAAGGAAGCAGCTTGTTCTGGTACATGGGCAGGTGAAAGCTGTGGAGTAACATCTGCAAAAGGGGAAAGCAAAGACCTGGGTATGCTTTACTTAGCACTTTGTTTGCTTAATATTGTTTGAGAGCTGGGACATAAATATTTTTATGCTCTCAGTGTGTTCCCAGAAGTACCTTAACTGCAGCTGTCAGTAAGGGATGTAAAGAGAACCTCCCATTTCTGGAGATTTTTAACTATTTGCAATATCTTTCAGAAAGACAAAGGGAAA